CATAGTCGGCCAAGGCCCCATGTGTCCTGCACTGGCTGGCTGGTGGACCCCTTCACTCCCTTCCTCAGGAAGCCTTCTGTGACCCTCTGGGAAGCCCAGGGGTGTCTCTGACACACGTCTCAGATGTCTTTCATTTGTCAATTTATTTCATTTTTTTGGGGGGGTGAAGAGGTGGGGGACAGGGTCTTCCCTGTCTCCCAGGCTGGAGTGCAGTGGCATAGTCACAGCTCAAACACTCATCACTGTGTTAAGGAGTCTGTATACTGTGACTGTGCTACAGAAAAAGCACAGACCTAAGTTTGCCATATGGGGAATGTTTGAGTAACTGTGACAGGGCACCTCAGAGTGGTATCGGTAAGAGAGCACAGTCTTCCAGCAGCCGGAAAGGAGGACGAGACCACACAGGCGGCTCCGCCATGGCAATCTAACTACCTATGCATCTGGAGAAGGATCCCAATGAAAAGACTTCGGTTAGGTGGTAATATGCGGGCAAGTTTTAAAACCTACTTTTTATTGTCATAATTTTTCTTTGTACAATAAATGGAAATTATAAAAACTTAGGAGCATTTATATAAACTCACTAGTAAGGAAAAAATCACGAGGCCCCTCATGTTGTCATCTGCACGTGGAGGAGCAGAGGAGCCAGAGAGGCAGAAGCACCTCTAAAGTGGACTTTTCTTCCCTTGCGTCTAGGCACTGTGGTTGGCGTGGATGAGAGCACTGCTTTCTCATGGCCTGTGTGTGACCGGTGTGGCAACGGGAGATTGGAACAGAGGCTGGAAGACAGGTAAAGGGACAGGGGCTGTCCTGAAAACTCTGAAACCCAAAGGGCACAGCAGCAACCCAGCTCCAGAGCCTGGGCCTTGCTGCCTCAGATGACTCCCCCGAGAGCTCAAGGGGCAACCTCCGCCTCTGCTGAGCGGCAAGGGAAGAGGCTCCTGGAGCCCGGTGGGTTTTTCTTACTGAGATTTCTGCTGTTTCTTGCACTGCTCCTGTTATGAGATAAAAGTGCTGGTTTTTGTCCCCACCTCCTTTATTATCAGTCAGGAGAATAAAGAAAAACAGGACAAACATGAATAAGTGAGACAAACTTGGTAACTGTACAGCTTGGCCTTTGTGAAATGTGCAGACATTTACAGAGACCACGTTTACAGTGGGCAGCTACTGGACAGATGTCCCTCCCCGCCCCACTGTGCTGCCCTCCCTCAGGGTCTGTGCCACTCTCAGTGCCCCTGTGGAGTCAGTGCTCCAGCCTCCCAAATGCAGTGTCATATGATAGAAAGGGAGGGGCTCATTACTTTTCTGCTTCTTAACGGCCAGGTGCAGTGGCTCACACCTGTAATCCCAGCACTGTCAGAGACTGAGGCAGGTGGATCACTTAAGGTCAAGAGTTCGAGACCAGCCTGGCTAACACCATGAAACCCCATCTCTACTATTAATTTTAAAAATACAAAAATTAACTAGGCATGGTGGCACACACCTATAGTCCCAGCTACTCAGGAGGCTGAAGTAGGAGAATTGCTTGAACCAGGGGGAGGGGGAGGTTGCAGTGAGCTGAGATCACGCCACTGCACTCCAACCGAGGTGACAGAGCTAGAACGAGACTCCCATCTGAAAGAAAAACCACAGCAAAGAGCAGATGGTTTCTTGACGCGCCTATGCTGCTGGCCTTACATAAGCCATCGCTAGACCATATGGAAGAGATAAGGGAGCACATGTGCAGGCGTGCATGGTAGCACAGAGCAGTGGCCATGCTCACATCTGACAGCAGGCTTTCTCTCCCTGTCCCGGGGGGCAGCCTGACCCCTGGCCTCCCTTCCTGAGAGGCTCATATCCCTCCTCTGCTCTCCTCCTTGGCCTCCAGCCAGTACTACTCAAAGATGATGTTCATCCCTTGGACAGGCTGAGTCCAGGCAGCTGCAGAAACTTGATTCTGAGAGTAAAGCCCGTTCTGTATCTCAGCAGACACTCATGTTTAGGAAAATGGCTCCCACTGGAGTTTTCCTGACTTACGCCCCCCGGGGCCTTGTCTTCCCTTGGCTTTTCATATACCAGAGGCGCCTTTTCCTGTGGGGACTGCTCCCGGGTGGTCACATCTCCTGTTCTCAAGAGGCACCTGCAGGTCTTCCTGGACTGCCGCTCAAGACCCCAGTGCAGAGTGAAGGTCAAGGTAGGAGCCAGGCCAGAGCACGCACGCACTCGTAGCTCACCCCAGCATGGCGAGGGTGAGGCTGAGCTGGAGCAGGTGCACGTCCTCCTGCACACCTGCAGAGGCGCTGGGACTTGGCTAGGATGGGTTGCATCTGGAGCTCCATCTAGGTCCTAGGAGCTTCCCTGGGAAAGGTGGGAGGATGCACCCTGCTTGAACACAGTCTCTCCATGTTAAAACACGTTTGACCTAAGGCCGTGAGACTGAAGCTCTGAAGACAGGTGGTTTGGATGTGGCGTGTTAATTTTTGGGAGAGAGTGATTTCACTGGAGCACTGACTGCATCGGAGGGAGTCTAACGCAGCCCTGCTTCTGCCGTTGCAGCTGTTGCAGCGCAGCATTTCTTCCCTGCTGAGGTTTGCCGCCAGTGAGGATGGGGTAAGTCCAGGGGGCCCCACACTTGGTACCCTACATGAGCAACTCATCCCCAGAGGAACCCCCCACTCCCAAATGTGTTTTGTTACAACAGATCCCACTAGAAAGTGGTGTAGATGCTCGAGAGTGAAACACAGATACGTCTCACCACTGCCATTCAGGCCAATGGGATCATTTCCTCTGTGGAAATGAGGTTATTTTAGATCAGCTGTGAGGTAGATACAAGAATCTGTCCCCTGGCTTTTTTTTTTTTTTTTTGGACAAAGTTTTTTTTTTTTTTTTTTTTGGACACAGTCCCACTCTGTGCCCAGGCTGGAGTGCAGTGGCGTGATTCTCCTGCCTCAGTGCCCCAAGTAGCTGAGACAACAGGTACAAGCCACCACTCCTGGCTAATTTTTTATTTTTAGTAGAGACAGGGTTTCACCATGTTGGCTGGCTGGTCTTGAACTCCTGACCTCAGGTGATCCTCCCACATCAGCCTCCCAAAGTGATGAGATTACAGGCGTGAGCCATTGCGCCCAGCCTGCTTTGATTACAGCAACACAGTCTTGAGGTTGGAGTGCTACTGCCAAGGTGTCATGTTAATAGGATGGAATTCCCTGAGATGCTTTTTTTTTTTTTCTTTTTTTAAACACTGGGTATTCCAGACTCTAGATAACTGATAATGTGACTGTCCAGCCCTGAGAGTCACTGTGGTGATACTTAGTAGAGTGGGGTGGCTCCTTCAAGAAAAGTCATCTAAATATATAATTGATGGCCCAAAGAGTTTCTGCTGTGTGAAAACTGACCCTCATAAATGAAGCATCTGTCCTGGAGATGCCACCTCCGTCTTGTCAAAGCCATTTAAAAACACCACAAGTGGCTCATGGAATAGCCACGGAAGGGTGCTGGGGACCAGCCACTCAGTGGCTGCTGGGCACAGCCCAAGTTCACAAGAGGCACCTGGAACCCAGGTGGGCACCATATCCAGGGAGCTGACTTGGGCCACACTGGACGGGAGTGTGGTGACTGGGGAGGCCCATCATGCCTGGAGCTCTGTGGTCAGTCAGATAAGGGGTCTTTGTCTAATGGGTCCCCATGGCCAGACTCTAGCCAGAATTTTTTTATTTTCTTTTAGACAGTGTCTTACTCTGTCATCCAGGCTGGAGTACAGTGGTTCAACCATAAGCTCACTACAGCCTTGAACTCCTGGGTTCAAACTATTCTCCCGCCTCAGCCTTCCAAGTATCCAGCCCGAATTTATGGGGACTTGACCCATCCTCTGGAGACTCCTGCCTACCTCATGACTGCCACCCTCTCCCCCACTGCACCTCAGGAGGGGCCAGCAACCCTGTGAGGCAGAACAGCAGTTTATCCTCTCATGGAAAGCATGCCTGTCAGAGTTGGATTAAATTGGAACATGGACAAGTCTATGAGCAGCATCTTTGGGGACCACAGGTGACTGCACACTAGAATCACCTGCAAGCTCAAAAGAGTTTCTGCTCTTGGCCGGGCGTGCTGGCTCATGCCTGCAATCCCAGCACTTTGGGAGGCCGAGGCAAGTGGATCACCTGAGAGACCAGCCTGGCCAACATGGTGAAACCCCATCTCTACTAAAAATAGAAAAAAAATAGCCAGGTATAGTGGCACACACCCATAACTCCAGCTACTCAGGAGGCTGAGAATCACTGGAACCCAGGAGGCAGAGGTTGCAGTGAGCCGAGATCGTACCACACTCCAGCCTGGACAACAGAGCAAGACTCCATCTCAAAAAAAAAAAAAGTTTATGCTCCCTCCTGGCATAATGCCCACCAGCTTTAAAGCTCTTCAGTGACCCTGAGCTCCAGCTTGGACCCATCCCCTGAACTGCTGCACACAGGGATTGATGCTGAGGCAGGGCTGTGGAGGCTCAGCAGCAAGCGTTCTCCAGTGGTGCAAAAGTTGAGTCCTCACCACAGGCCAGGAACTGAGCCTACCTTGTTCTCACGTTTCCCCATTCAACCTTCCAATGTCCCAACAAGGTGGAGTCCATATTCCCCTGCAGCACCAAGGGCAAAGACATCCCACAGAGGGAAAGTCATTGTTACCCCACAGAGTGACCACCTGCAGAGTTGGGAGCCAGCCCAAGGGGCATAATGGGGAACGGCATATGTGCTTTTCTGTCCTTAAGGGAGTTGAAGTGTATAACAGGCAACCCACCACAGAGCAGTGCCTGTCAGCCAATTCCTTGTCTCCTCATCTGAGTCCTGGGGGGAAGGAGGAACAAAGGAGGAGGCAGTGCCCAGAAAAGGGAGTAGCTGCCCACAGCTGACCGGGTAGAAGTTTCCAGCTAGGGGGGTTTGAGCAGGTGGTAAGATGGCAGATCTGGGTTTTCCAGGAACACATGTTCATGGAGAATACTGGGAGAAAGCAGTAGAAACACGCCTGTTTGAGAACACAGAACAAAATGAACCGCAACCCGCAACCTCAACACATTCAACCGACAACAGTTGGCCATGGCACACAGCTCCCCAGCTCCTCCATGCTGCTCAGAAGGCTGGGGCAGTGCCGTGGCAGCAGCTGCCTGCTGGTCCCTGCAGGCTCTTCCGGAGGGCACCCTGATTGCCATCCAGGAAGTCTCCAGCAATGGACAGCGCTTGACACCCCTGCTGATCCTCACCCCTCTTTAGAGATGCAGAGACCAGGAACCCTGGTAGAAATCCTTCCTTCACTTGGTTTCCTTCTGGCTAAGGCGGGTGTTCCTCCTACACATTTAGCTTGTCAACTAGAATATTCCCATAGATAAAAGCCCTGATTATAAAGAGCTCAAAGTTGTGTGTACATGAGTGCACATGTATGCACACGTTTGTGAAGTCTGTGTGCATCAGAGCACCTTTGCCCGTGCCCATGTGCACGTGTATATGTGTCCACTTGAGTGTGCTGTTATGTACATATGCTTGACACGTGTACATGTGTGCATGTGTGTGCATGGCACGTGTGTATGTATATGCATTGGTTGAGGGCCAGAGGGTGGCAGCAGCGCCAGTATCACCTTCTTGGGTGCTCTGGCTTCAGGGCCAACACCAGTGGGCTGTGGGTAAGTTCCAAGTCTGGAAGTAGACATTTTAGGAGGCTCTTTACCCCATGCCCAGCTCTAGTCACAGTGGGTGATCAGGTCTTTACCACCGATCTGGAAAGAAGCTGATAGAAAGAAGACGGGTGCCAGAGGGGACTGGGTGGAGACATGAGCTGAGACATACTCAGTATGGATTCTGTCAGTTTTCTGGGTGAGCATGCACATTCACCAAAATTCAGAGAATCAAATAGGGACTTTCCACAAGAACCGTAACTCCATTCCCTGGGGCAAACATAACTGTTTCAGTTAAGATGCATGAATGTTAAGTTTTATGCCTTTACTGTAATGTGGTCAGGCTGCAGATGTAAAAACAATAGGATTGTCTATAGTTGTGCATCTCATTTCTCAATAGTAACATTATTGTGACATGGAACTTGAAGTGTGTTTCCTTAACTTTTAGAAAAGGAAAAGTTAAAAGAACATATGTAGTGATTTTTTTAAAAGAGAGACACATTTTATACATGTGCAGACCCACATTCATATGAATAGTGCTTGGGAGTTTGCTGATATGGTTGTTTTAACCTCTTCATGTTAATTTCTCCCACACATAAAAGATTTATTATTTGGGCACAGTGGCTGATGCCTATAATCCCAACACTTTGGGAGGCCCAATCGGGCGGATCACCTGAGGTCAGGAGTTCACCTGGCCAACATGGCAAAAACTTACCTTTATTAAAAACACAAAAATTAGCCAGGCATGGCGGTATGCACCTGTAATCCCAGCTACTTGAGAGGCAAGGCAGGAAAATCACCTGAACCCTGGAGGCAGACTTTGCAGTGAGACAAGTTTGTACCACTGTACTCCAGCCTGGTGACAGAATGAGACTCGGTCTCAAAAAAAAAAAAAATTAAACTCCATTTACAGATGATATAGCCAAACCTAATGTTTCACAATTAAATGATTTTCTGCTGACTTTTTCCAAGTCAGAATCGCGTACTTTTACTCCAGAAGTCTTCTGTTTCACACTTGCACAAATATGCAAGACAACTGAAACTGTAAGAGACCAGCGGCTGGGCGTGGTGGCTCACACCTGTAATCCCAGCACTTTGGGAGGCTGAGGCAGGCAGATCACCTGAGGCCGGGAGTTTGAGATCAGCCTGACCAACATGGAGAAACCCCATCTAAAAACATAAAATTAGCCAGGCATAGTGGCACACGCCTGTTATCCCAGCTACTCGGGAGGCTGAGGCAGGAGAATCACTTGAATCCAGGAGGCGGAGGTTGCAGTAAGCCAAGATGGCACCACTGTACTCCAGCCTGGGCAACAAGAGTGAAACTCTATCTCAAAAAAAAAAAAAAAAGACCAGAAGGGTGTCCAGCACGCCGCCTCCACCCTCCCTCCCTATGCAGCGACCCCCTGCTTCTGCACCCCCTGGTGTCTCCTCCAGACCAGCAACCTGGAGGCTCTGTCTTGCTCGCTGCCGTCTCTTCAGCGACAGCCCCACATGGGCTTGTGATAAACCCTCACGTATGAGTAAGTGAGCAGCTGCACTTGGTGTCCATGCCACTCAGAACCCTTAGGAAGGGCTCAGCTTCCACTGCCTAGTTCTGTCTCTTTGCCTGTCTTGACCAGTAATCCCCACTGTCCCCATCACTACATTAAACCATCCTGTTGACCTTATTCTTTTTCACCAAGAAGCCAAAACACGACAAGGCACAGTAAATAGGCACCATGGCTGTCTTGCAAACGGGAAAATGAAAGTCCCCCTACAAGTCGGCATCAGTAGTGTTCACATCCCAGACTGATCTTGACATTTATTGTTACAAACCATTTCAAAACTTGGTGGCATCAATATTCATTCTGTGCACAGAACTCTTGTTTGGACAGGGTTCCATCAGGACAGCTCCCCTTGGCTCCACTGGGCATTAGCGGGTGTCCCCAAGGCTGGAAGGTTCCTATGTCCAGGCCACAGCTCTGGCTAGACCCCCTCACAGTATGTGTGTGGATCCCAAGGGTCAGCTGGAAGCTGGGCACCTTTCCTAACCAACCATGGAATGTCACTTGGTGTCCTTTCCACTGCACTCTGTTCATGAGACGCCAGACACAGGCCAGCTGAGACTTGGGGAAAGGCAGTGAGACACACACCTTTGAAGGGAAGGGCACCAAGGAGCCACACTCTGCCTGCTTTGGCCACGTTGTCTGGCTTCTCCAGCCTCAGTCTCTTTAGCTATAACATCATAATGATGGGAAGAGTGAATTAATAGATACCAAGTGGAACTGTTGTAGCAACTGCCAAGTGCCTTGCACAGAGGAGGGCTTTAGGGTCAACACGATATTACTCTGCAAGTGGCACTGTGTTCTAGAGCTTTAACCTCCCAGAAGGCCAGATAGGGAATATTGCAGTGCTTTTGAGCCTTTATTTTCAGCCCTAGCTCCAACGGCAAACACTCTGCAGCTTGATCTATAATGGGGTGCACCAAACCCTCTCAGCCTCGTCAGGGATGGGGGCCAGGGCTCCCTGTACTTGTCTCATCTGGAGATGAAACGCATCTGGGACTAAAGAAGAAGAATGTACCAGCACTTTGGGAGGCTGAGGCCGGTGGATCACGAGGTCAAGAGATCAAGACCATCCTGGCCAACATGGTGAAATCCTGTCTGTACTAAAAATACAAAAAATTAGCTGGGCGTGGTGGTGCATGCCTGTAGTCCCAGCTGCTCAGGAGGCTGAGGCAGGAGAATTGCTTGAAACCTGAAAACTGAAGTTGCAGTGAGTCAGGATCGTGCCACTGCACTCCAGCCTGATGATAGAGCAACACTGTCTCAAAAAAAAAAAAAAGAATGTAAAGAAAAAGCTAAGTCTCATGGTCTCATGACAAAAACTACGGAGAATTTTAGCCCAGTGTAACTCTAGAAGAAATGGGATCCTATTAAGGAAGGAAGTTTGGGGCAAGGCACCAGGAAATCCCTTGACCGGAAGTGTTGCTAGATTGGGGAAGTGTCCCAAAGGAAGTGGGAGACAGCTGTGGGCACTGCACGCCCAGCCCCTGCCTTCCCAGCAGAGCCTGTGTGCATCTTGTCCCAAGTGAAAACAGAATTCAGTTCCCAGAACAGGGTAGGTAGTTCCTACACTTGCCAAAATAAATGGGCTTTTTTTTTTTTTATTGCGGCTCTCATTTGTTTCTCCTTCCTACCACTGTTCTCAGCCATTTGAGGAGTGGAAGGTCGTGGACTGGGAAAAGGGCTTTCCACGCTGGCTCTCTGGTTTTCTGTGTTGTTGGGAACAGAACGTTCCAGGCTGTTTGCTTTAACCAGTGTGCCTTTATCACTGCAGAGCTACGAAGTGAAGAGTGTCCTCGGAAAGGAGGTGGGGTTGTTAAATTGTTTTGTCCAGTCCTTAACCACCCACCCCACGAGCTGCATTGGACTGGAGGAAATCGAGCTTCTGAGTGCCGGGGGGGCCTCTGCAGAACACCAGCAGTGGCCGCAGGGTCTGTGAACTTTGCAATGTGGCTGCGAGGGTGATGCTGCTGGTAATCTGGGGTAGTTATTTGTTAACTATGAACACAGTGAACAGAGTTTACAATCTTGAAACTTAGATTTTACTGAGGAAATGTTAAGATGTAAGTTTTGTAAACTTATAAATCAAAATACCCTTTAATACAGTTATGTTTTTTATTTTCTACAAATTTATGGACATATTGACTTGTTTTCACGTTGAATCTTAAGCTTGAGCTCATTTAGTATTTTATGCAGTATCAGAAAAAATTCTGTTCATTTGCAATTTTAACACGTTGAACATTTTACCATGATTGAGCATGTGTTTCTTACCGTATGTTTTAACATTCCCCCAAAGAGTACCCTGCAAAGTGTAACTTTTGTCCTATATTGTGATATTACTGTTCTGCTACAATAAATGTCAAACCTAAGTATTTTGCAATTCACTACTTCGGGAAAATTTTCCAGGGAACTGTATCAGAGGTGAAATTGTTACCCATAAAGTGTAGCTATCTGAACCGGTGTGATTGTGACTCTGCTGAATGGAGGTGGGGATAGCTGGCTCCAACACACGCCTGTTTAATCAGGCTGGGTCACGTGCACGGAGAGCAAAGATCACAGACTAAGGAGCAGTCGGTTATCATTTGCTTTGTTGGCAGAGATTTAAATCAAGAATTATCTTTGGAAACTAAAGATTTTGTTCCCCTCCTTATAGCAATATAATCATGACATGCCATAGTTAATTACATAATATACACGTAGCAGCCCATGACCAGGAAGTGGTGCCTAATACCAAGTGTTCTTAGGGTAAAAGCAGAGGGCCTTTTTGGGGGAAATTAAACCTTAAACATTGCAAATTACTGGCAGGATAGCCGGTCTTCAGCAGTTGTGTGACTGCCCTTTTCATCCACTACATGACTATTCTGTCCTTTCTGGCGCACGTAGAAAATCTACTTGAGTCGTCCACATGACTGAGGAAAGTGAAAGCAAACTCCCGGGAAAGCGGGAGATGATTCAGCCAGGCTTCTGGTTGGCCTGAGTCCTCCTACAGCCCCTCGCCCGTCCAGCAGCCTCTATAGTTAGGGCGCTCTTGGACTGTTCTCAGCAGGGCCCCCCCAAACAGCCAACCCTTCCCCAGGTCTGGGTTCTCTGGGAGAGCACCTTCTGCTGGAAAGCTGCTAGCTTACCTGACCTCGTGCTCCACTGGGCTTAGGCAAGCTAAAGCCAGGAGGGAGCCTTTAGCGCGTTTCAGAAGCGACGCAGACCCTCTCTCCTGAGCACTTCGGGCCTCCGCCCCGCCCCACCCCCCGCCCCACCCCCCGCCCATACACATACACATACACACACACACACCTGGCGCCCGGGCTCCCAGGTGCGTGCTCGCCCATACACACACACACACACACACGCACACACCTGGCGCCCGGGCTCCCAGGTGCGTGCTCGCTGGCTGCGGGTCCGGAATGCACCCTTCCGCAGCCGGGTCCTGCGCCACCGGCGGGCGTGCAGGAGTTGCTGTGAACATAGGAAGCAGGGGAGATTTCAAATGCTGCTTTATTCTTACGAATAATGTAAAAATTGATATAAAAAAGTGAGCATGCTCAGTCTTTTCCTCTTATCTACAATACAAAGGGTTTGTCTGAGAAGTCTTTTTTACAAATGTACCTTAGCTGCATCAACAGGAGTAAGATGTAGAAAAAGCTACCATTACAAAAATAATTTAAGGGAAAATAAACACGTTTAGCTTCTCTCGCAGTTCAGTGGTGGTAAGTCCAGGCTGTAGCTTCTTTGCGCTCCTATGTCCCAAGAAACTGCAGCGGGCACCCGGCGGCTCTGGCCGCGCCGGGGCAGGGCGCGCTCCGCTCCGGGCCGTCGGGTCTGAGGTATGGGTCGTTGCTGAGTCTCTCTCGCCCCCGCCGCGCGTTACCGGCAGTCTGCGGCCCCGGCGGCAGGCAGGAAGGGCGGGCTGGGCAGCTGCTTGAAGAACTGCCGGAGGCCGGCCAGGTCCCGCGTGAGCTGCTCCACGCGCTGGTGCAGCTTCTCGTTCTCGGCCGACAGCTCCACGAGCTTCTGCTGCATCTCCTGGTTCCGCCGCTTAGCCTTGTCGCGGCTCTTGCGCACAGCGATGTTGTTGCGTTCGCGCCGCTGCCGGTACTCCGGGCTGCCGCGGTCCGGGCCCCTCTTGCCAGTGCTCTTCTCCCGCGCAGGGCCGGGCGCGGGGGTCGGCCCGGGGCTGCTCCGCGGCGGCTCCGGCGACGTGGGCGGGGTGGGTTGTCCGGCGGCCGCCAGGCTCACCACGGTCTGCGCGCAGGCGGCCACCTGAGCTGGCAGCAGCGAGCCGGGCGCGTCGCCGTCGCCCCAGTCGGGCTCGCGCTTGAGTGGGCGCGGAACCGCGAGGCCCGGGCCCAAGGGGCGCGCGGGGCCGCCAGGCAGCAGCTCCAGGGGGCCTGCGCCGCCCGCCTTGTGATTGCTGTTGAAGAGGTCGGCGAAGAGCTCGTCGTGGCACAGCTCCAAGGTGGGCACAGCGGCCATGGAGTCGATGTAGGCGCTGAAGTCGATGGCGCTCTCGTCGTCGTACATGGCGGGGGCGGCAGCGCCCGGCTCGCCAAGAGCCCCCGGCTCGGCCCCGCGGCCCGGCTTGCCCGCCCGGCCCGGCTCGTAGAAGGGCGCGGGCTCCGCTGGCCAGGGCGCGCCGCGCGCCGGGCCGTCCAGGCTGAAGAGCGCGGCGCTCATGGCGGCGTCGGGCCGGGCTCTGCGTCCAAGCGCGGCTGTCACCTCGCTGGGCCCAGCCTCGCCGCCTTTTCTAGCCCGGGCTGACGCGCACGCCCCGCCCCGGGGCCGCGGGGGAAGGGGCGGGAGCGCCCTGGGAGCCCCCGGAGCCGCGCCGAGCCTTCCCGGGGCGCGCCCTCTCTCTGCTCCTCCCCGGGGCCCTCTCCCGGCCCTGGGGACCCCCAGCCCGCGCTGCAGGAGGGGGTGCGCGCTGCTGCCCCCGCCCGGCCCGCGCCGCTGGGAATGACACTCCCTCTGCCCGCACTCCAGGGCCTTCTCTTCTTCCTGTTTGTGGGCTTGGAACCTCCTAGCTCCTCCGGGCTGGGAGTGAAATCAAAACCAGGACTTGGCCGCGGCGCGCGCGTCCTGGGCCGGCTCGCGTCACTGGAGGGCGGGGGTGGGAACCCGCGGGAGGGGACCCGCGCGTCCAAGGACTCCCCCGACCGTGACCACACGCCTGAGACCCTCGCCCGGCCCCTCCACTGTGGGACCAGATGCGGAAATAGGAGCGGGGGGCCGGACATGGGGTCGGGACGTGGGGACAAACACAGTATCCGGGCGGTGGCCTGGCGGGCGGGGAGGGCTGCCCGCACTGCATTCGGGCGCCTCGGGGAATCTGGGCCGGTTCTAGCTGCTTTCCTCGGAGGTCCCCAGTCCGGCCCAGCAAGGCTGCTGCTGCGTCCCGGCCCAAAGGGCGGCGGGACCCCCTCGCTAAGAGCAGAGCAAATGGGGGAGACGCGCTCACGACCTTGCGTCCTCCGCCGGCCCCTCGAAGTGCGGGCGCCCCGTCCGGACGCAGCTCCCCGACCCCACTGAGCCCGGCGCCCCCCGCCAGCTCCGGCGCCCGCGTTTCTTCCAGATCTACAGAAGCAGTGCCATCGTGTGGCGGCATCTTGCGTTAGACGCGTTTTTAGTTCCAGGCCCTTGCCCTGCTAAATATTCCAAGAAATGCCTTGAACCTAAAGTAGCTGGGTCCCTTTTGGGAGACAGGTAAGATTTCTGCCAGTAGCTCAGACCCAAAGTGCATTTTCTACTTGGATATTTTCAATTTATGGCAAGTTTCAAACAGCCTGCCCAATGCGTGTTGCCTTCGCACCGTGGGAAAGTCAGGCTGGCTGCACTACGTTGCTAGCTCTTCACATTGTAAAATGCTTGAAAAGACACAGTAAGTAGCAGGAATTAAAGAATCAGGAAGCCGGGTGCGGTGGCTCACGCCTGTAATCCCAGCACTTTGGGAGGCAGAGGCGGGTGGATCACGAGGTCAAGAGATCGAGACCATCCTGGTCAACATGGTGAAACCCCGTCTCTACTAAAAATACAAAAAATTAGCTGGGCATGGTGGCACGTGCCTGTAGTCCCAGCTGCTCTGGAGGCTGAGGCAGGAGAATTGCCTGAACCCGGGAGGCGGAGGTTGCGGTGAGCCGAGATCGCGCCATTGCACTCCAGCCTGGGTAACATGAGTGAAACTCCGTCTCAAAAAAAAAAAAAAAAAAGAATCAGGAAATAAAGACTTCAGTCCCAGCTGCCACCCTTTAACTAAGTGCCCTCGAATAGGCGCTGGGCCTCACGGGCTTATCTGTGAAACACGGTCTGATGCCCCCTTTCCAATGCTGGTAATCGACTGAGGAGCAACACTGGCCTTTGTTTTCCAGTGGCCGCACACTGGCGCACATATCTGGTTGAAACAGGCTCCCAGTTGTAGACACATGAACACACTTTCAGGTGCTCATGATCTAGCAGGATGGCCTACCTAGAACTTGGGAATACTTAGTGTAGTGAACTGCCTGCTTCTGCCAACACAGCCACCACCTATTGAAAGTTGGAAACAAACACGAATTCAAGCCCTCTTGAAGCCTGTGATGGCCATCTTACTGTTCTACAGGTAAAATGGGGCTGAGTGAGGGTGAGCAATCTCTAAATGTTAGACTGCCTGACTTCACACTGTAAGATGCAGCACCTGAGTAGCTACTCAGGGCTGGCTGAGCAGAAGCCTGCATGAGGCTTAAAAGGCCACACAGCACAGTGATTAAGAAGGCCACCCAGGGTTAGACCGGCAGCATCTGAATCCAGCTTAAGTCAGTTCAGCGTTTCCCATTCAGGGAAAAATGCTCTTCCCAGTCAGGCAGACCTGGCAGTGAGCACCAGCTGGCCACTACCCAGTCGGGAGGGTAAGAATCTGTCTCCACCCAAGGTGTGGCCTAAGGTTTAGGCTGCCTGCGGGAGCCGGAGGACTCTGCATCATTTATATGTGTAAAATATGAAACTCAGGGCCAGAACATCCAAAACAGACACCCTCACTTACCAACATTGGAGGACGCTGCCCTGTTCATGATACATGAGGTGCTTCATTAAATTTGTCCTTTACTAGCTGGGTGTGGTGGTGCAGACCTGTAGTCCCAGCTACTCGGGAGGCTGAAGCAGAACTGCCTGAGCCCTGGAGGCAGAGGCTGCAGTGAGTGAGATCCCGACACTGCACTCCAGCCTGGGCGACGGAGCAAGGCTCTGTCTCAAAAATATAAAGAAAATTAATAATAGCTTTTTGTTCATAGGTGGAAAAAATGTTACGAAACCACTGGTCATCTGTCAAATGTGGGGAACCACAGCCTTCTAAAAACAACTGATTGCTATAGAGTCAATATAATTTTTTTTTTTTTTGAGGCAGAGTGCACTGTGTCACCCAGGCTGGAGTGCAGTGAGTGCAGTAGCATGATCTCGGCCTTCCAAAGTGCTGGGATTGTAGGTGTGAGCC